CACCAAGGCCAACATTTTCTTAAGTGGCTACTGATTTTGAGTGCTTCAGGTTTTGGGTGAGCAATGTGGAATCTGAGTTTCAGAGGGAACTAATAAGGGAAATAACAAGAACCTTCAAATAATTGTGTGGGTTTTTTTAAAATCTCGCTTTTTAAGCTGCTCTTGTGATGTTGAAGGTCTGACTCATAATTTTGAATCTTTGGAGATTACCCTACTGATAAGAAGTTATATGTGGGTAACAACAATGTTGCCTTGGAGCACCTCCGTAGGTGGACATAGAAGAGTAGCCTTTCTTCTGAATCATTCAGCCTATCTCCAGTGGTTTCATTCTGTCATTTGCGTTATGAAGTACATGTCAACATTTGAACAGGACAAATATCTGATGAATGAAGTGAAATGTACATTGAACCATAGCCTATGTTTAAAATTATTTTAAAGAAACATCACCAGCTTTTCTATGGGTAACTAATTTGAAAGGTACAAAATCCTAATATTTTACACAGGAAAGGAAATTACTGCATTGCCATAATACTCTTGGAATTTCTATTCTTTCATTGAAATTTGGATAAAATAAGAGACCGAATAATTTAATATATGATATTTTAGTTTTCATGATTTACTATGTAGAAGAAAAATGTCTAGATCTACAGCTTGAGTGTAAACACAAGACACAAAGAACTGTACATTAGATGGATCTGCACAAAGTAAGGCATTCCTTTTCCTTTGCAGAAGGATAACAACATGTTTTCTTTATACTCTTCTTACTGATCAAGAAATGAGCCAAATGGCAACTACTGAACAGTGATGAAATGATGTTAGATAAAAGTAATACCACTATTCCCTCCCCTGAAATATATACGCTCCAGTGATTTGGTGCCTTATATTAGCCATTTCCCCTCTCCAGAGGACTGGGATTTTAATCCCTCAGAAAAATATTTTTTTTCAACATGTGCACCTTACAAAGTAGTGTACGTTTTACTTTTCCCCAGGAAAGCAATTCTTTATGGGCCTCATCCTGTAAAATGCGGAGCATTTTATGGGTTGTGGAGTGTTCTCAGCTCCTAATGCAGCCAATAGGATTTGAGGGCACTGAGGAAGAGGACCTTGCAGGAAATGCTCAGTACCTAGCAAGATGAAGTCTTATATGAACTTGAATTGGATAATGGTTACCACAGCATATGCCACAAATGGACACACTTCCTGGAATACCATATATCTGGAGATTCCCCCTCCCCATTTTTAATTTCAGTTTTACCTCCCACTTTTTATTTTGTAGCTGTGCCTCTTGCCCTTCTCTCCTTTTCTCCTTTTCTTTAATTCCATGTGTTTATACATCGAGCTCTTTCTATTTTTCAGGCAGTTTGTCCTCGTTCGCACACAGTTTGCGATGTGTTTCTGGTTTGGGAAGATACTGTTTTGGTATATTTAATTGCTGATGAAGTGGAAAATTGGAGGGTAGAGGTATTATTACTTTGCATAATGGTACAAAAATATCATTAGCAAATTAATCTCCATCACATAGATTCATAGAATCCTAGAAGATCGGGGTGGAAGAAACCTCAGGAGGTCATCTGGTCCAATCCCCCACTCAAAGCAGGACCAACACCAACTAATCAGTTATAGCAAGTATTTAATTTGATGTATACATTACAAGAAAAACAAGAGTTAGGGCACAGCAAGCTAAGCTGGATATTATGATGTATGCCTACTGCATGATATTCACAGTGCCTGACCCTGAGTCTACTTGAACACCAAAAAAACTCCTGTTGAAATCAATGGGACTTCTGGTTGCTGAGATGCTGATAGACTGAAAGGAGAGATTTGACTCTATGATTACCAAGTAAGGATAATTAAAATAGCTTGTAATGTTTTTTTCTTTTATAATATACTCTGGAAGCAGCACTATATATTCAAATGAATATTATAAACCTTCCAATCAAGCATTTAAATACCTGGGTATTGAATTTTTTTGAGTGGCTTTAACTTTTGTCTATCAAATGGAAAACGAACAGTAACACCTAATCAATTTTCACACAGCAAAAAGTTAACTGCGGTGAGCCCCATGGGTCTGTGCTAAGGTCTGTGGTGTTAAATATATTTATCAGGGAAAGCAAAAAGGAAATAAATTATGAGGAAGCAAAATGTGTAGATGACACAAAGTTATTTAGATTAGTCAAGACTCAAGCTGGTCAGGATTTGTGTGTGTGTGTGTGTGTGTGTGTGTGTGTGTGTGTGTGTGTGTGTGTGTGTGTGTGTGTGTGTGTGTGTGTGTTAGTTT